CGGGGGGGCACTTGAAATTTTCGAAGGGGGGGCGGTAAACTTTCTTCGGGGGGGGGGGGGGAGGACACTGTTAAAAGTATATATTTTCTATATAATTTATATAAATTTCATTTCGTTCGGGGGGGGGGGGGGGGGGCGGTAAAAATTTTCGGGGGGGGGGGGCCAAGACCCCCCCCCCCCCCGAAGAGATGCCTGGAAGAAACTCTGCAAACAATATGTGTATAATATGGCGGAATACTATTAGTACACTTAATATATTAACATGCGTTTTTTTATAAATCGGAAATAGCGTAAATTACTACTTCTTTTCAACGGAAATTACTTGTAAATTGTATATAGGGCAGATAATTGGGTCTTTTACTTTCGTGTGAAATTTCAGTAATCTATCTGAAACAGTATTGAAGTTATAGGCTGTTAAACACTTGAAAATAGAATAAGCGCAATTTCTGTTTACCGGAAATCGCTCAAAAAGTTTATACAAAACTATAAATTTCAAATAATACTCATATAAGAAATTTCATCAACCTACCTGTAATGGTTCTCAAGTTATCGTGTTTACAGACACACATCCACACATACACACACAGACATACGTTGAAAACTGTCAACGTTTCATGTGATTTTTGTGCATGATTACTTCCTATATACTCTGTATACAAGAAAGGGACAAATAGATGAGATAAAGTTTGAAAGATTTATAGAAGATGAGTCTATACGTTTTTAGTGATTGCAACGATTTAGAAAATATAAGACTTCTGTTTTGTAGGAAAACAAAAAAAAAATGTTTTATGTAAATGTCTTTCAATGGCCCCAGCTGTAATTTTGTGTCTGACGTCAACGTATGTTTAAACTGTCGAGTTGAATATAATTTTGTTTGATTAGGGACTAAACAAGGAACTTCATTATCATTTTCCAGTCCTGTTGTCCCTGGACTAAAGGCAAAGTATACTTTATATAATTACCTCAGGAGAACAGCTGTTTCGTTGATTACATAGTGACCTGCACACCCACGTGACTTATTTTAAATTTTAGGGCGATCAGCTAAAAAAAAAGCCTCGATGTTTGAGAACACCCCATAGTTCCAGCATCACCAAAGTGCATTGGCAGCAGTTTACTTTTTGAAAAACATTTCAAGCAAATGGTTGCAGTTTTTTGAAGCTCAATCACTCACTAAGTAAGCTTTTGTCTTCTTCTTCATTCTCAGTTTTATTTTTGGGAGTTAAGTTCTCCTCCAAACCTGACGGTTTATGGGGCAGGTGCAGTAGAGTTTACTTGTTTCTGTGATATCGATATATGAAGGTATAATGTGGTCAGCACTATGCCCAGCCGCCTTTACTTTCCCTAACGTGAGTTAGATACCCATCAGAGTTGGGTGTACTCAGGGACGGTCTACTGACTTGAACCCGATTCGAACTCCAGACTTACGGGTTAGCAGTCCACCTCTCTACCGCTAGACAACTCCGTCCCTGATAGTGTAGAAGTGGCTTATTGCATAGTTAGAATAAGACAGCAGTAGAATAGTTGTTTTGTAAGCTGAGCTGTATTGAAGCTTAACAGTTTTGAATGTAAACATAGGTAAATACGAAGAGAAAGTGTAGAAATACAAACAATATTACAACGCATCTGACGCGGAATAATGTACACATTTTTGACACGTAAAATGGAAACGAAACAACGACCATTCTTCTCACGGAGATGGCTGTTATGTATAGGATATCTATGCCCGTGGCTGTTTCAGAAACCGACGTGGAGAATGCTTGTCATTAATTAATTTATAACAAGCTCAATGACACACAATGAGGCATTTAAATATATATATACAATCGGCCTGTGTACGTTCTTTAATTTATTTATCACTTGAAATTCCATTCTATTATTAATTATTTTAAACACTCGTGGATTTGTTAGTAATTGTGTGTTTTCGTTACATGTTTATCCACCTTACCTCAAGCTATTGACAACACCACTTGATAAATTACTGTATATTAGTTTTTCTTTACAGTAATCTCGTAGGATTCAGCACACCTAGATTTTAAGTAAACGACTCTAATTTGAACCAAAATAAAGTATGTTATGTTTTTTAGAGAGTGGAAACATTTTTTTTTTTGAACCAATTAAAATTGCAATGGCAGTAATGGAACTAGACAATAAAATCCCTCACCAAAGCAACAATCTTTTTTTGGGACCCAAAGTAGGCATTATATATATATATATATATATATATATATATATATATATATATATATATATATATATATATATATATATATATAAATAATCTTTTTGTAAATCTACTTGTCATATGGCTTCCATTCCATTTGCTCACATGCAGATGTCCATTGACATTTAGGCTCCAGTCTAAATGATTAATAAACATGAATAATGAATTGATGTGAAGATAGTACTTGAGTGATTGCATTTGGGATTAATAAATTAATAAATTATTCAATGGTCGTTCAATATTCAAGTGGATTAATTAAGTATAAGTGGACGAGCACCTTTCCGTTTTAGTATTTAACGGTGATCGGTATGAATGTAGGCCTACTCAGTCAGTACTAACTCAGTCTAAGGCAGATAACTCATTTTGAGGTAAAATCACGTCAATTGTTTTATCATCTTACCTAAAAATAAAACAAGAAATATTTTTTTATCATAATCAGGTTTGCAGCAATCAAGACCTAAGAAAAAGGTAAGTTGATTACTTTTGATAATTGCAAAAATACAAAACTTGACTTAAAGTGGTCGTTGTGGATCCCGAAGCAGTATGCGTACTTTACTCAAGTTAGGGAAAGAAAACGCCTGGAAAAAGTGACCAGCAATTAATGTAAGGCTTCAATAGCTTGAGTTTAATGAAACAGTTAAACTCTACTTCATGTGTTCCGTGTGTCTTGGATACGAAGGAAAAAATATAACTGATCCACTACACGATTGTTTCATAAAAAAAAAAAAACTAATTGAAAGCGTCAAAAATGTTCTCTGCACAAATTAATATGCAATCGCTATAATATCATTTAATTTAAGAAATAAGAGATAACTTTAGTATATTATAATTTTATTTAGTTATTGTGATGAAATTAAACTAGATAAATGTAATGTAATAAATAATAAAACAGCAATAACTTTTAAATCATCTAATCTTTTAAATTCTACAATTATGGTTTTTCTTTTGCCTTAGAAGCTAATACTTTACTTGTACATAAAGTCAATTATTTCCAGGACTATCATTGCACGCCTGGGAATTATTTTTTCCCTACATATTGTATGCTTAACTTCTGTTCATCACTATCTATAATGAGTAGAACTTCAACCTTTTTCCAATCAACACGTCCATGTAGGATGTGTGTAACCATTATGTTTACAATAGCAGAGCCGGGTCGAACTAGTGACGGCTATTAGGAGCAGATTATTTAGTTTTTAAACGATTTGAAACGAAGGGGAGGTAACAAGTTCAGCGGGTCGGCACATTCATTTGTGTTTTCACTGTTTTAGAAAGGACTTAGTTTTGGTTGCAAGGGACGTATTTTTGCACCTTGCAAATCAAACCCTTATTTCAAACCGTTATTCTTATTTAATAAGACTTAAAATCAGATACTAGGAGACACATTGAAAAGTATGAAAGGTGTAATGGTTAACTTAGGTCTACACAAACGGGGGTAAAGATCAATATATATATATATATATATATATATATATATATATATATATATATATATATATATATATATATATATATATATATATATATATATAATTTATTATAATTATCAAAATCAACTACTGTGCTGTCAAATTATAGTAATGCAATATCAATTCATGTAATTGGCAACTGAAATGGGGTCTAAGAACTCTAACCCCCCCCCCCCCCACTGTTTTGGTGGGTTATTTAGTAGCAGGTGCAGTTGTCACACCCATATCCATATTATAACGTAAGACATGTGAAGGACTCCATTGACCGCTTGAATTACCACTTGAATACATTTGTTTGAATAAATTACTGCCACAGCTGGTTCACACACTTCAATGTCAAACACGGCTCATGAAATATGGTAACAGCAGAATTTGCATCCTAACAGTGGTTGTGTTGATAGATGATGAGAAAAAACTTATTATTTAAATAGTCTAATTTATTCTTTGAACATAAAATTAAAAGCTCCCAGTCAGGGTTTTATTCCCATTATTTAGCTGAACAAGTAGAGCGCTTTTTTAATGGCGTGAATATTTCAGCGTATTCACATCACATTCTTTTCAATCTTTTGATATTCTCATAGTAAATCTTTGTATACCATACACCCACTTCATGTATTAAAGATTATACGGTACAATAGTCAGTCTGTCTTCAACACAGGTATTAAGTTTATTATAAATGTGAATATTTAAAAGCATATTTTATAAAGGGTTCTTGTAAAATTAGGTATATAAGGCATATTTCATTAGAAAAAAATCAGTAAACATAATATACAAAAATATTCACTAAATTAGAAAAGAAACAAACCTAGTTGCACTTAGAATTATATAGATTGTGCTTTTCATCTGCTCATACGTGTAAACTAATATGAGTAAAAACAATTATAATACAATTATTTTTTGTCCTTTCTCTGCGTTGTCATTTCAACTTAGTCAATTGTTTCTACTGAAATGGATGAAACCATCTCAGAAACTTTAATTTATTTCTTATACTTTCCACCAACTCAGGAGTGTCAACACTAAGATGGATGAAACCATCTCAGAAACTTTAATTTATTTCTTATACTTTCCACGAACTCAGCAGTATCAACACTAAGATGGATGAAACCATCTCAGAAACTTTAATTTATTTCTTATACTTTCCACCAACTCAGCAGTATCAACACTAAGATGGATGACACCATCTCATATACTTTAATTTATTTCTTATACTTTCCACCAACTCAGCAGTGTCAACACTAAGATGGATGCAACCATCTCAGAAACTTTAATTTATTTCTTATACTTTCCACCAACTCAGCAGCGTCAACACTAAGATGGATGAAAACATGTCTCAGAAAATTATAAAGGAGATGTACTTCAAGCTGTATCAGGATTTTGACGTGGACACAAGGTTAAATATTGAGGCTGTACCGTCGTACGCCAGAAACATTTTGTCAAAGATCAGCGAACGTACAAGGAGGAGGTATGTAAACGGTTAAATGAAAAATTAATGTTATTCATTTTTAAGCTATAAAAATAACACAATTTATAGTTACTTTACAGAATAGATAAACAAACATAATAAAAGTTTAAATTAAAGTTTTATTTATAGTAGAGACGGAGTTAACCACGCTACGATTTTTGTTCCCTACCTACAGCTATGATGGTTCAGCTATTTACATCCCCGATGCCATCGAGGGCGCCCGTGTGCTGGACATTGGCTGTGGAGGTGGAAGTCTGTCTTTTGTTTTGTCCAAGCTCGTTGGTCCAGCTGGATACGTCGTTGGCGTTGATTTTTCTGAAGAAAGCGTAATGTTAATTTTTTTCTCATTCCTTTTTTTTTAAAAACGAATTCTAACTGGCTGCTGAAGATTTTCAGAAGAAAAAATGGTATTCTTTAACTCTTACTTTATACTTTGTATTTGTAACTTTGTTATGACTCATATTAAGGGATTAAGAGCACCATCGCTTCACAAAAATCCCCAAAAATCGTTGTGTTAGAGATAGATGAGCTACACTTTCCGATTTAAAGTTGTGTTTTACGTAGAGGTTGCGGTTCAGATTCAGTTCGAGGTTAAGGTTGTTTAGGTAGATGTTGAGGCTTAAAGTTCAGTTCGGACCTAAAGATCAACTCTTTTAATGATGTGTTAAACAGATCAAACTCTGCCAAGAAGAGACAGCCTACCACATGAAAGAATGGGGCTACAGTAAACCCAACTGTGAATTTATATGCACCTATGTTGAGAAGTTATTGGATTTTCAGCTTGAGCCCTTTGATGTTATTGTGTAAGTAAAACATATTGCCAATAATCACAAATTAGACAATGTAATATTAAACTAAGTAAATTTCAGAAACAAACATTTTATAAATACGTCTCATTCTCTCTTTGTCTGTCTTTATTTCTTTATATCTTTCTTATTTGCATCCTTATATTTATGAAGCAAATTATGTTTGTTTGTATTTTATGCATCACGTTATATTTTATCCGATCGCCATGAAACCTTTCTGAAGTTGTAGAGAATACTCCTCGGGATGTGTCTGTGAAAAAAAACACGTTTAAATTCGCAGGGGGGGGGGGGGGGCGTTTCAATTCTTCTCTTTATACGATGTAAAAGAATATCAGTCGATGGTGGTTTGACGCCGTTAATCCGATCACCATGAGTTGATTAGAACACTTTTGGGGAGGTTTTTAATTGCGCAATGGCGGCGTCCTGGAATGCTTGATTTTCTCTATTTTCTCTATATATAAAGGTCGAATAGCGTTCATCCGATTGTCATAAAATTTTAAGGGATAAATGAGTATACTCCCGCGATGATTTCTTTGTTGGAAAATTCAATTTAACAGAAGCAGCGCCCGGTCTTTCCAATGACCGCAGTGGCGCCTATGGTAGTTTTAAGCAGCCAGAGGCCATAGGCGGCACCCCTGCGGTACTGTAGCCTAGGGCTCTTGAAAGCGGTCCTCTACGTCCCTGACACCTAGGCGGTCACTTGTGTTTTACTTCACTATTACGATAAGTGATTATCGTACGCTTGAGTTAGGTAAACCCGTGCCCCGATAAATGTGATTCAAGCACAGACATTGTTTACATTTAAAAACTCAAGTTTTCGAAAAAGATCACACTTATTAGAATAAAGGAATATAGGATTGGTAATGCATTGATGAAACCCTTCTTATATATTTCGTCAGACATTCCCAGGGCAGGCTAATATATAAATTCTATCTTTTGAATCACACTATGTACTTTTTCTTTTACTTTGAATTAGAGCAAACGGGCTGTTGTGTTTAATTCCTGATAAGGAAAACCTGTTACGCAATATATTCAGTTTACTGAAGGTAAGTTAAACACTAGGATAAGAAAGTTGAAGAGCTTTCTTTTTTTTAAATAAAATGTGGTTATTTTACATTGCTTCAAAAATACTAAAAACGTATGCTGTAATTAAAAACTCAAAACATTTTGTTAAAGGAAGGTGGAGAATTCTACAACAGTGACATATATTCCGATATCAAGCAATGTGATGAAGTAAAAGATAATCCAATGTACACTTGTAAGTGAATTTCTGTAAGAATTTTTTTTAAGTATTCATGTATGGTGTGATTTAACAAAATACTTATAGATTTGATAACATCTCTTTTTAGTTTAAATAACATTAAAGTTGCTTTATCACTTATAAGGGAACCAATTACATCGATTAATTAACTGATCGATTTGTTTTCAGGCTATGGAATCACCAATGCTATGGTGTGGTCAGAGCTAAAAGACACAACAAGCAGACACGGGTTCTCAGAGCCTTACCTCCTATTCGCTGCTGATGCATTTCAATTTGAAAACGAGAAATTAAAGCACGATCTAAGTAGGTGTTGAACTTTAGATTTGGAATTTTTAAAGCGATTGTGAGTAAAAACCTACCTTATATTAACTTTAAAATTAAATATGGGATTCAAGTTACAATATAACTATCAGTCCTATTTGGATTTTCAGGAACTAAATGTTTATTTCTTTTATGAAATCGTACTGAAGTTAGAACTCTTATTTATGGGCTTTGTGTTTTGAATTAGTCGTTTTTAAACCGCACTCTTTTGTATCTCGGATCAACATTCAATACATTCAGAAAATGCATTGTTTGGTTTGATGTTCACTTGATGTTCACGATATGTTTTAAATTCATCTGCTTTTTCACTGCAACTTAAATGTAGACAGATGTCTTGAAAATCACATTTTGGCTAAGTCTGTAATAGGAATTTACACGATTTAAAGCGGGAACAATATAGTGGTGAATACTAGGATCGAGATTTGTACCCCAAAAAATGTATCAATGTATCCTAATTTTGTTAATTCATCTTATACCATTTTAATGTACTAACATGTACACATATACCGATTCTCTGTTATTACATTGTAATTATGTCTTGTTTAACTTAAAATGATAACACGGTTAGCAAATAACTTGACTGTCATTATTTTGTTTACAATGGGCTAAGTCATAAATACGTTATAAATTGTACAGGGGGAGTTAACTACTGTTGTGCTGTGTACAGACTTTTTAAGTGTGTCCCAAAAATGAATGGACCAGCTGCCATTGTGGTCTATGATGGGAATTGCAAGAACAACGAGGATCTCTTCAAATGGGATGTTGATTTGACATTTATGGTATTTTAAATTTGAATTTTAATAATTATAAATAATGTATATGACATATTTTAAAAGAAAAAAAAAACACAAGATAAAACAGTGTTTTTATATTTAAGCTTTATCAAAAACTTCAATTTCTCAAACATAATTATATTTTGGTTAACATATTTATATGCAATGTTATCTCATGTTTCAGAAAAATGTTCCTGTAAAAATTGATCAATATCTTTCTAGTATTTTGGCTGCTTCTAAATACGCGAAGTATTTTTCTATTCAACAATGTGATGAACACATTTTTGCACATAATGTAAGTATAAGAGTTTTAAGGAGAGAGGTATTATTTCCAAAACAGTCTTAATTAATTTAAAAATATCGAATTATTAAAAAATATCAAATATGTCATACAAATTGAAAATGTTATTTTCTTTAGAACCAGAATCCATTTACTTATTTGGCAAAACTACGCAGAAATGGGGACAATTATCCTAAGCCCATTTATCCTATGGTAAGATTGGCAACATACATTATATTTGAATAATAAAATTCTAGATGACATGCAAGACTATTTATTTTTACAAGGTTGATGAAGTATTTAGACGTTTACATTTATAGATGTTACATTTTAAAACCTATTTAGCACATATAGATTATAAAATATTAATTTCATATAACAATGCATAATATAACACTATATAACAAATTTATGTTTAACAAATTACGTTCCATCGTAGATTTAGATTAATCATTTTGTTTTATTAATTTATAGGCTGTATGTGATACATTGCAAAACAACTTGTTATATTTTTAAGAACAAGTAGTCTATACACTAATTAAGCTATTTGTTTTAAAAAAAATATCCTACACCTTATTTTTATCAGTGCTATAAACATGTTAGAAAACGAAAAAAATATCAGATTTACACAATTTATTTTAACTAGAGTTAAATCACATTGTACATTGTAGTTTCAGAAGTATATGTCCAATGAAATTTCAAATATATATATACTAGCCGTCCCGGCCAGGCCCTGCTCTGGCTTCTGTGAAAAACCTTTCTGTTAAAGACTATTACCTGTGTGTTTAGTAATCATCATAAACCCGGCAGTGCCCACCCAAACCACAACCAACCAAAACAACAAAACGCAAACATAACGCTAACACAATTACAAATACAAACGAAAACAAAAACCTAACAACAAACACAACCACAAACACCAATACGAACACAAAGAAAAAAACAAACGAAAAAGTAAACAAAAACAAACCAAATCCAAACGCAAAACCAACCACAAACACAAACCCAAAGAAAAAAACACAAACGAAAAAGCAAACGAAAACAAACCAAATCCAAACGCAAAACCAACCACAAACACAAATACAAACACAAATCCAAAGAAAAAAACACAAACGAAAACGAAAAAAGAAAGAACAAAAACGAACCAAATCAAAACGCAACCACTAACGCAAACCCAACCTAATCACAAAGAAAACACTAACGCAAACATAAACGCAAAGTGCTCACAGTCTAGCCCGGGGCAGAATCGCCTGTTTCAGCTTAATAATCGACTACAGTACCCCAACTTATTCATAGTCTTTTGCACTCACTTAAATGAACGTAGGTGCCAAACCAAACCAAATGAACAATTATAATACTCCAAGCTTATTCGTAAAATACCTACAACATTTGCACTTGATCAATCCCCGCTAATTATGTAATTATTTTTTTCCCAACCTCAAAACAAAGTAATAAAAAGTAAATTCTTTTCCACTAATGCAATGTTTTATAAATGGCAGTAATTGTGTTTTCCTAATTTATCAAAGGGAAGTAAGTGCTAAAGGACTAAATATAAATAATTTTCAGACATAATTAGAATTTTTGTTATTTTTTTAAAATTATGTTTAATGAACATGCCCACAATTATTACTATCAGTTTGAAAAATGAAAATTATTTCCCAACACTTTCAATAGTAATTTTTTAACTCATACATTTAGACTATGAGCACGATAATAGTCTAACACTTAAATCCATGGAAGTATGTCAACGACAAACAAACAAACTTATTTTTACATACAGAATTGAGCTTTTTATTATATATATATATATATATATATATATATATATATATATATATATATATATATATATATATATATATATAGCAAAGTGGTCAAGTGCCCGATTGGGCACTTCCCGGCGCCGTGGGCGCGTAAAATTTGGCACGATGATGCCTTGGGGCAATAAAACACGAGTGCCGGTGATGGTTGGCCGAAAAGTCCACGGAAAGGGGGTCAAAATTGACCTCGACTGGCCGGCGCCTTTTATGGGCTACATTACGAAAAAAAACTTTTGCCGAACAACCCCTTTGATATTTTGTGAGGTGGTAGGAGATTGCCTAGGGGTGTTGGAAAAAACTCTGGAAATGGGTCAAAACGGACCACTCGTATTTCCCTATATAATCGTTGTATTTTATGGGAAAAATAGAAGGTAATTTCAAAACGGATTTTAGGACATTTACCGTCTTTACATCTGGCTAATTTTAGGCAAGCTTATAGGTAAATTACTTGGCCTTGGGGCAAACTGTCGGTTTCACTCAAAGCCCTCGACGTGGGCTAAAAATTGACCGCAAGTGAAATTCTATTTATATGCGCTCTTTTACGACAAAAAAACTTTTGTCCGACGCCCCCCTTTGAAATTTTGTGAGGTGGTAGGAGAACACCTAAGGGTGTCAGAAAAACTCTTCATATCTGGGAAAACTTCGTAAAGGGGTCAAAACTGACCAGTTGTATTTCCCTAAATAATCTTTGTATTTTATGGGAAAACAGAGGGTCATTTCAACGCGGATTTTAGGTTATTTAAACTCAGTATATTTGGCTAATTTTTTTGCATTCTCCTAGGTGAATCGCTTGGCCTTTAGGGACATCTCGACGAGGGCAAAAACATGACCGCAAGTGAAAATCTTATTATTTGAGCTATATAATGAAAAATTTCTTGCCGAACGACTTCCTTTGATATTTTGTAAGGTGGTAGGAGAACTCCTAGGGATGTCACAAAAAACTCGGCGTATCTATGAAAAAATCGTAAAGGGGTCAAAACTGACCAGTTGTATTTCCCTATATAATTTTATCGGAAAAACAGCAGGTCATTTCAACGCGGATTTTAGGGTACTTAAACTCAGTATATCTGGCTAATTTTTTCCGTGCTCCTAGGTAAACGGCTTGGCCTTTAGGGATAACTGTCGGTTAGACTCAAAGCCCTCGACGAGGGCTAAAACATGACCGCGAGTGAAAATCTCCTTATTTGAACTATATAACGAAAAAGTTTCTTGCCGTACGACCTGACTTGATATTTTGTGAGGTGGTAGGAGAACACCTAGGGGTGTCAGAAAAAACTTGCCACATCCGGGAAAAATCTGTAGATGGGTAAAAACCTCTATTCATCAAGCAATGTTTTTACATGCACCTATGTAGATGACTAGGCCGTATGGAAAAACTGTTGGTCAAACTCAAAGCCCTCAACGAGGGCTATAAAATTCTCCTTATATAAGATATCTATAAATATATTGACGAACGATCTCCCTAATATTTTGTGAGGTCGTAGACAGCCACCGGAGGATAACAAAAAATCATTATTCACGTCAAAAAAAAAAAAAAACCCTTAGGGTCATTATATTTGCCAGATGATGTATTTTCTTATAATTAATTGTTTGTAAAAAAGTAAACAAAGACATACGTCATTCGTTTCAATTTTTTAAAATAATTATTTTTAAAACAATTGTATACTTTTTTTAAACATAAACAGAAAATGACGAAGTATAGCATTTGTTTCAGTAAAAAAAAAATTAAGTTTTTTTTTACGGTACGTATCTTAATTAAATAAGTTAATAATTTTAAAAGTCAATGTAATATAAATTTTGAGATAGACTGT